TTTTAAATTATAAATTGTTGTTTTAACATCACAATTAATTGCCTGTTGTTAACATGTTTTTCTCTCGACATGTTTCGGTTCAAATTTATCATCATCAGGTGGTTAACACGCATTATGTTTAAATAATTGCTTACTATCTGCATGTTTTATAAACGGCAATATTATGTTAAATTATACACGTATAAAACTAAATTGTAATTCAGTAAGCAGTAATTTTTACATTATGTGAGTTATCACCCTATGATGGTGAACTTCGATTGAAACATTTTGTTAAAGTAATATTCTTTATAATTGAAAAGTAAATGCTTCTGTGGCTGCTAAAATAAATATAGCCTATTTTGCACATAAGCAAAAAAAGTATGGTGTATCGTTGTAAGATTGTGAAATTATTTAGTGTCGAGTCATATATAAAACTTCCTCGAATTATTTCGCAATGTTCTTATGTATAATGTGTAAGACATGTTTCGTAAAGAGTTCGTATGTCGAGGACGTTCCAAAACGCAGCCAGAAAGCGTCTGCTTACGTCGGGCGGCCGGGAGAATGACCCTGTAAATTCAACTCCATTCGGAGCAGACGTCTTGGAAGTTACTTCCACGATCCATGTACGAGGTGCGATCGGAAAGTTTCAAGACTGTGTCAAGAGAGGGCGAACCGGATGTAGTACGAGCTTCTGCCGCTAGGGGGGGCGGCCTACATTCATAGTGAATCAGTGTACCAGCCGGCATTATCGAATTAGCATTTGTTTCTTAGTTACGGGCGTTTTGGTAGTGCATTACGCCGACCCTCCTGCGATTTCGGAATGGCGTGTGCATCAAATTTTGCCAAAGACTCGCAAAAACGGTTACAGAAACCTATGAAATGCTAAAGCAAGCATTTGGGGGAGTCCGCAATGGGTCGTGCACAAACTTTTGTGTGGCTTTCACGTTTTAAAAATGGCCGAACCTCTGTCGATGATGACGAGCGTTCTGGACGACCATCTTCGAGCACAACGCCCGAAAATGTTACGAAGATTCGGCAGGCCATTCACGAAGATCGACGTCGTCCCATCAACGACTTGTGCGACATTGTTGGGATAGGCTATGGGACCTGTCAGCTGATTCTAAAGGAAGAACTCCACATGCGACGCATCCTGTCTGAGGACCAGAAGCAGAATCGACTTCTCGTTTGTCAGGAGCTCAAAGATCTTGCAAGAACCGACCCCAACTTCCTTTCTAAGCTCCGTGTGACTTCTTCCTCTTCCCAAAGATGAAAATTCAGCTAAAGGGAAGGAGATTTGAGACGATAGAAGAGATTCAGGCAGAATCGCAGATGGTGCTTAACAGGCTGACAAAGAAGGTTTCCAGGGATGCTTCCAGGCTTGGCAGCGGCGCTGGGATCGTTGTGTTCACTCCCAGGGGAACTACTTCGAGGGTGATGGATGAATTTAATACCTGAGATAAGTGTACGGGTTTTTATACGCGCAGTCTTGAAACCTTTCGATCGCACCTCGTACGCCTTCATGGCGTGGTGCCCAGCACAAAACTTGTTATACGTTTAATAAGAGCTTTGTAATGGATCGAAGACAAACACCTGAATGTAATATTTAACCATCAGACAGGAGTAAGTTCGTCGAGCCGTACACGAAAAACACAGGAACCGGGAAATTCAACATTTGTTAATTACCATCATTTCCTTACATCTGACTGAACTATCCAAATTCAAAACCTTCGTATTGTTAATTTGATGACCTTCCATTATTAGTTGTCTAATTCTCTGAACAACAATATCGTCGATAATATTAACATTAGCGCTGTTCCAAATGCGATCATGGAACAACGCGCATTATATAAATATTTAAAAATTTAAAGGCTATGTCAACTCCATGTTTTTATAAAGTAAAAAACAGCTCGTGTGTAATTCGAAATATAGATTGCTGGTCCATTTCATGACAAAATTGTAATCAAATTATGTATTTCATTGTGTAGTTTGAAAATATGTTTCTGTAGTAAAAATTACGAACATGATGAAATGACATTTTTGTTATGTCGGATTTAGACATCAGTGAAAGTTGGCGTCATTAGTTCAGTTTAATTAGATACTGTTGCGTATAATTGACATTGCAGTTTCGTACTCAAGTTTCCACCTAATTCGACATCTGGAAAGGGAAGTCTGACATCCCGTAATAAACTGTCGTCAGACTGGATATCTCCAGTTGTTTTCAAGGCTGGTGGTTCTGAAAGCCATATTCCTAGCATTTTGTATAATTCACTCGACATCGCCCCAGCTGTGACATTCGAGATGGGTTTTAATTATCAGAGCCAAGCTGGGTCTGTATAGTCCGACTAATTTAGAACTACGTGACGATGACGTAAATTGACATCACATTTGTCTGGAGTCATGTTGTCTGTGTTTAATTGCAAATAACAGAAACTCGATGTTTTAATAGAATTTGAATGTTTATGTGAGCCGTATGATTACGCATGTATCATTACATTGCCACTCATTCTGTTTCAAATCATATTGGGGATCTGTGACTTAGACCAAAGATGACTATACTTAATGAATATGGCAGTCGTTGAGGACAGCACGCGTATTATATGAGAGATAATTTTGTCTAAAGTAGATGCGGTAAAACTGTGCTAAATGCCAAGCAAATCTTGACCACCAATCAGTTACCTTCACTATTCACTTTTTCTAGGTCGGTATTAAAGTTCCTTTAAATAAGTCATAAAATCCTCCTTCTAAACCTTTTCTTACACACCACTCATAATCATTTAACATTGAGTAACCTCTGAAGGTAAAACAATGTCGTTAAACAAAGTTAGGAACAGCCAGCCAAGAATGTGTTTTCGAATCTTCACACTTCATATGATTTATGAGTACATTAATGAGACAAAGCTTTGAAGTGCTTTAATTCGTTAATATGTTGTTTTGCATAAAGAGACCGATGGAGGTGGTTACTGTAGCGGTAATAATTGTATTCCGGAGATACCCAGGTCAAATCTTTGCGTTAATACTAAATGTCGAAACTAAAGTTTCTCTTGTTTTCGTAAGGTCTCCAGGTGAATGCCGGGTTACTAGTTTAAAATATCGCTTACTTTCAAGTCCTTACCTCGTCGCCTATCATGACCATTTTTCCATCTCATTAGTGCCTTATAAACATTGCATTTGAAACATTGTCGTTAAGTAAAACAAGAATCAGTAAAGACCATTGATAACTGGAAGTTGTGTTATTTTTGTGCTAAGCTTTAGAATTTTCCGCAACTAAGGCAGATACTACGTGGTCATCACGTAGACACCGTGCATTTATTATGAACGTGAAGAAGGACTGAAGTTCGTTCGCAAGTATATCCTTATTTGTTAGCAAATCGTTGTGACAAGATCTGATGTGGCTGATTTCCATTCGTTTAAACTTCTACATGATATGTTCGCTCCTTTGCCGCATTGGTATGTTTTAACGTACAAAGGAGTTTCACGAATGTTTGCAACCACACATTAAATTGTGCGTCTCATTGTACATATGGGATCTTGTTGGTTATTAACTCGTTATCGTTGTTGCTTTCAAATAATGTTTGAATTTTTTAAGCAGCCGACATTGACCTCACCTTGAAATAATTAGTAACTGTTTTAATTATTTTCTGAGTCGCGTTTCATACCAAGCTGAACGCGCATTTGATGGAAAGTTCGTAGTTCCGGTTCATCAGACAAATGCGACTGGTGTTTTCGTGATTTTTGTCATATACCGAAACAGGACAACGCTTGCATGTAAGACGCAGTAACTCCATAATACTCATTCATAAGAAACAACTAATTTTATGGTTGTTTCTGTTACGTTGTTATTTAAACAGTATCATTCAATGGCCTATTTGTGTGTTGTACGAGGTCTTACCAGAAGTTACTATGCGTGCAAGGGGTTTAATCTTTTCTGGAATGTGTAGTGTTTTCTTAGGCCTGCTCTAGTTTGGTCGCTGATGACAATGCGATGCACTGATGATAATCTTACCTGCTGTTCAGTGACTAAAGGTGGGGGTGGGGTGGGGG